CCACTATTTTTGTTTGTTAGTAAGGTGTCACTGTGGGGCAGCGGTAAAGGTTGTTTCTTTCTATTCATTATCATTTCTTTACTTTCATATGTTTTGTACTTCTAAGTGTAACCTGAATTCCAAATTTCTTTTATGAATATTGCTCAATTTTATTTATTTATTTATTTTTTTGGAGGGAGAAGGGGCATAGTTACAGGAAGTTTCATACATTCATAGTTGTTAGGGGCTGGAAGGAACCTTGCAAATCATTGGGTCCATCCCCCTTGCACGTGGGCAGGAAAGATTGTTGGGATCAAATGATCCCAAAACATCAGTATTAAGACATTTTTTTTGAAGATTCCAGGGTGGATGACTACCACTTCTGGGGGAGCCTGTTCCAAACCCTCAGCTTGTGGTTACATGGTTATACATTTTCTTTTTAGTTGTTGCTCAGTGGACTTGAGGATGTCACTTTGCTCTTTTTCACTGTGGAGAAAGAAGAAAGTTGGGACATCCTCAGTAGTTTAATTCAGAGAGGATGTTTGCTAGTCTGCCTCCTGAAAACCGTAGTCTAACTGAGGCAATTAGTCTAGATTCATTTAACAAGAGTTGTAAAAACTTGTTAGGATACAGCTAAATGTATTTTTAAAGTTTTTTCTTCACATATAGACTTTCCTTTATTATGTTTTAACTAAAAATGCAATAGTGACATAGTATATTTCATTGTTCCTTTTAGAATCCCTTGAATGCCTGTTAGACATGTAGCTGTTGGCTGTGTACCTGCAGGTGTTTTTTTCCGTAACAAGTAATATTTCAGTCTTAATCGAATCGGGAGTTTGGCCCATCCCACAGTGGGCAGAAATCCTAATTAATAAATGTTATTTGTACTTAATTAACCCCAATTCCAGAAAAAAAACAGTGCTAACAGGATTTGGCCTGGCGATTGTATGCTGCTTCAAACCATACTAGGTCATTGTTTATCCAGGCAGATGTACTTTGGTAAAGATGTTCTTGCATTGACTGGCATCATTTAGCTGGAAGCTAGTTTTCAGGAAAAATGTTTAAATTGAGTTTCTGTGTATTGTATGACCTCTTGCTAAACTGTCGATTTGTTGTGTCATGTCAAAGAAAAAATACTATTTTAAAATCTTGTCATGTTCTTCTTGCTTTGCTCTCTCAGAAATTGAAATGTTTATTCAGAATTGGTTATTAACTCAGGACTATCTGACTGTGACTGGGAGGTACACAATGCACAGGCTCCCTCCCCACTCCCATGGGCTATGCCAGGGGCACCTCACCTCCTCCGTCTCCCTGGCTGTGCTAGCAACATGCAAACCCCTTAGTCTCCCCCATCACAGGTCAGTAGGAAAGTTGGCTGCCAGGTCTGTGTTTTAAGCACTCACAGGTTACCAGTATGACAGCCGTGAAATAACTGGAGGTTGGTTTAGGGCATGGGTGCCAAAGATGCAATTAATTCATGGGCCAGATCTGGCCTCTGGGTTTTGGAAGAACCCCACGTGCCACATGCACAAGCCCCAAGCCTGCATGTGGCACGTGGAGCCTATCTGGTGTACATGGCTTGCAGCACACTGGGCTGAGCCCAGTGCTGCAGTTACTGCACATGGCAGGGGAGGCCAGTCCAGGGCCTGCGCTGTATGCAGCACCCACATTGGACCAGCGCTGTGCACTGGTGGACCCACAGACCATCAGCCTGCAGCAGAGCCAGCGCAGGGCTGGTCCAGCCCAGTCATCTTGCGCAGCATGTGGCCCATGTGGGCTCAGCACTACAGTCCAGGATTGGGGCCAGTGCATGTGTAGGTCCACATTTTTACACTGGACTGGTCCTGTGCATTGGCTCTGGTGTGTGGAACTAGTCTGTGGAACCAGTCCAGCCCACAGCCCAGTCCCATGACCCTCATATGGGCTGTGGGGTCAGATGGGGTTGACACCCCTGTTGTAGGGAGAGTAATATGATTGATAACTGGATGGGGCGGGACAATTTGCTGTGTTAGTCTGAAGTCAGGCAGAAGGCAGGGCAGAGTGGTATCATAGGCTCCGGACAGACTTTCCACTTAAGACATGATTCACTGGTTAATCATGTTTTAAGTAGTGACCTGGCCACATGTTCAGTCAATCAATGGTGTGATAAAAAACAGGCATAAGTCACAAAATTATTGCATAAAATAAGTGTAGTAACTTTGTGGCTGGTTCTTACTATGCTTGTAATTGGATGTGTGGCCAGTGCCCCACCTCTAGAGAAAGCAGGAACCTTTCAAGACTGCAGTGTGCTCCAGAGGCTGGAGGTCCCGGTCAGTTGGCTCCCAGCCAGAGGAGTGCACCATGCCCAGGCAAATAGCAAGCTTGGTTCCCAGTTGGGGAAGGACATGGTACAGTTCCCAGACTTGAGACTGATCAGCTGATGTGGCTCTAAGCCACAGAAGTGCATCGTATGTTCTCCCAGCTGGCATCCTGCCTTTTACTGTAATGTCTGTTAGCGTGTTGGGCAAGTGTGCCACAAATTAGCCCTGCATCCTATTTAAGTGCTACTCTGATCTCCTTTCCATGTCCAATCTGCTGCTTTTGCTTTCTGCTTCCTTTTCTGTGCTCTCTGCCTCATCTGCTGCTTTTTTCTGCTTCCTGCGCTCTCTGCCACCATGTTGCTTGTCCCCTCTTTGATCCTGACTTCTGCCACGTACAGAGGCTGCCCATGCGACTTGATATGCATGCTGCAAGTTGCCTACATCTGTTATAAACAGATTGACAGAGGAATAAACTTTTGTAAGCAACAACTTGCTTTGTCAAATAGAGGTAGATGTTAGAGGTGAAATTCTTATTGGTGTTGTTCATCTGTGTAATAATATAGTAAAATTAAATTATCTTCAGTATTCTGGTACTTTTAAAATCTCAATGGTTCTCATCCAAAGTGTGTGCTTCCTCTGAAGCTCTTACTCTATTTAAAGTATCATTTGAATGTGACACTATTCAGTTTTTTGGAACAAGACTGAAGATAAATCCCAATGCATATGTTCCTAAAGGCATGGTTTGTGTCAGAGTTGTCCCTTTTAGGAATCACCAGGGAAATTTTGCATCAGATATGCACTTATCATTGCAAAACATTTTACACCTTAGTCTTCTGGTCATTTAACATTGACTTTTGGTAAGATAATGTCACAGAGCAACTGATTTCCAATTTTTGGACCTGCAAAATTTCATTTCATAGTTTGCACCAGTGGTTCTTATCCTTTTTAGACTCAAGGTGCTCCTTGGAAAATGCAGACTCTTAGGGCTTTCTTACACATGCTCTGAGGCAGGGTGCTTTAGAGTGGCTCTCAGAGCCACTCTAGTTAAAATGCCTGCAGTATCTTGTGTATCAATGTTCCCGTACTTTAAACTGGCAGTGGGAGCGCTTTAATTAAAGCTTGTCAAACAAGCACCCCTGCCGCCATTTTGAAGCATGGGGATGCTGATACATGTGGAAGTTGGTTGGAGCGCTTCAGCAGGCTTGATTAATTGAATCTGCTCCAACATGCTGTAATTGCAGCATGTGGGAGCAGCCTCCGGGCTTGTGTACAAGCACCCTTAGCTTTCAGCTCAGTTTTTGAATACAGAAACAATTCTTCTGTTGCAAAGAGCTCAACAAAAACCACAGTAGGTCGGAATGTTTTTGGCACTAGGGATTCCTTTTTTAATTTTCTGGCTTTATCTTTTCCATCATCTGTAGGTGATTGCACATGTAACAGTACTGCTATTGAATGGCAGCCTTAAAAAATATTTCATGACACCCTGATTGAGTATCACGGTACACACTGGAAGAAGGGCTTCAGTTTGTAAACTTTCTCATCAAATTGGGTCTGGCTCTTCATTAAAATACATGAATGCACATGTTGTAGATTTACCATATTTACTTGATTCCAAGAGGAGGAATAGAAACTGTTTAGAACAGAGTAACAAGTAAAAATGCTGTACTTGCAGCCAGTGCTGGGTTCCTCTGGCTCCCCATGGCAAGGGAATTGGCATCGTGCCAGGGAACAGCAGGATCCAGCACAGCATAGGAATCCATTCCTGGCTCCATATTGATCCTTTGTTTGTGTTTATTTGTGTTTTACATTAAACTGAACAGAATCTGGCTTGGAAATTTGCAGTTCTTTAGGCATGCCATGCAAATTAAGATTAATATGCAAGCATGCAACTCTGTTTTGTTCTGTCCCCATCCCGCCCCCCCACCCCAAGAAAGAATCAAGCAGAAAAGGCTGACCTAAAAATTAAATCTAAAAATTCTGTCATTTTTGGAAGAGACTTAACTTGACCATTCCTTTAAAAACAAAACTATTGTATGCCTTGCAACTAATATAACAGTGCAGCTTGATACCCATCAGCGGTAGCCAACCTTAGCAGTATGTTTTATGCACTTATGGTACTAAAATTGTGGATGTGCATTTGTTGTTCAGATGAAAATGTCTAGTCAAATGTTTCAGGATTAAGAACATAGTCATTTTGCATTTACTTTTGCACAAAGCTATGACCTGTTGGAGTTGAGGATATGGGAAAGGATGTAACTATATCCTCATTTCAAGTAATTACTTAGCTGACTTTGGGTTTAATTATTAACACTGTTTAAAAATTTGCTTTGTAGTTTAGCAACACTGTACAGCATTTGTTAGATGGGCTCTGCAAAAAATATTGTTTATTTGCCAACAGTTCCAGTATTGTACATTTAATCATTCAGTTTCTCTGAGGTTAGGCTGTTACAGAAATAAGGTAACCTTCAGTGAAGTGGAGCTTCCGATATTCACATTAACTTCAGTGGAAGTTGCTGGGTGCTCAGTATTTTGGATACTAGAATAACATTTAGATGTGGAAGCGTTTAGAAATTTGGCGTTAGGCATCCCTGTTTGAAATTCTTGGCTTGTGACTAATGTAGTCTTATTGTGAAAACAGAATCTTTATTGATATGTTTTGGTTTCGGCTGTTGAATTATGAGATATTTAATGCTTTGTTTCCACAACCACTTTTCTTTCTAGGTGTAACAGATAGCTTAAAAATAACTCCAACTGACCAGCCTATGATTGAAAAAGCTCAAGGAGAGAAAGTTACGTTGCCATGTATGTTCACACTCTCACAAGAAGATGAAGGCCCATTAGATATCGAATGGGTTTTAATACCAATAGATAATCAAAAGAATGAACAAACTGTGAGTAGACGGAGCTTTTCAAATGCAATTTAACTTCTAGTTGTAAAAAAAGCTTCATAAATTAAATCCTTCCTTCTACATCAAACCTTTTTTTGAATTTCAAGACAGGAAACTTGTGATCTTGTTTAAGAAGCAACAGTCATAACATTGGTGATTGTATTTACTTTTCATAATAAAAATATGAGTATAAGTATTTGTTTAAAAATGTAAGTACTTGCTTGCTATGGACTAGTGGTTTTTAAAAATAAAAAAGTACTGGAATGAATAAAGATTATTTTCCATATTTTGTTGACAGGAGATAGTGCTGTCCTAAACTAAACAAATCCTCATTTGCCACAAAAATAAATAAATAAAAACTTTTGGTTTTATTTATGACATGCTAATCTCCTTAGAACTCATCCTTTGAATGGATGAATATTAGATGAAGCCCTTTGAGGGCTTCTAACTTTCCCTCCCTTCCTGACCTCCCCACTCTGGGGCTGAAACTGGAGAGGGAACGGGCTGAGTTACTAAGCAGGCAAACCATATGACCATCTGAGCTGGAACGGGGGCTTAAAAGGGGCTGCCGGTCCCCCTGGAATGATCAGTGCTCAAGGACACACTTTGGCATGGACAGAGATAATGCTGGGGGGAGGATAGTGGAGTGTTTGACGATCTCCTATTTTATTCTCTTTTTTTCAATTGAATTATGTGCTGCCTTGGGAGGGGGAGGATGACTAGGTTTTGGAGACAGCTATGACATTTCTGAGGGGGGCAAAAACAGAGGGAAGGCCTTGGAGGGAGGACTCCCCAGAGTTAGGTAGGAATGGAAGGGAAAAGAGGTAGGAAGAATTTCCATTTTCTTTTTACCAAGTTATTGAATGTAGGTTGGGAGGGTGGGTTGGGAGGATGTTCTCCTTAAGAGGCAGGAGAGCAGCAGTGGCGCACTGTTTTTTTGCATGGGTGGGGGGCAGTTAAGTGTTTTCTGCCTTCTTGTTTTAATATTTTCTTCTTTGACTTACTTTCTCTTACTGTAAGCCTCCCTGAACCTTCTGGGGGAAGGGTGACATAAAAAGGTAATAAATAAATATAGAGATTTGTAGCGCACAAGTAGCATGATGGTTTTTCTCTCAGCTAGAAGATATTAGCCAATCTTGGCTTATCAGTGAGATATTTGGCTCTAGAAATTGAGATGTTTCATTTTGCACCAAAAACATTGTCATGTGGGTTTTTTCTGCATGCTTTTTTTGGGCTGAGTTTATTTAAAACCATGAAAAAAGTAATGGCTGGCCAGTTTTTGAAGAAATAAATTGAGATTATTTTCCAATATTTGATCTACAGATCTGCTTGAAGATTTTGTTTTTTCTTTCTTCCTTTTAGATAATTATGTATACTGTAGATAGGGTCTATAGTAATTACTATGAAGGCATGCATGGACGAATGCAGTTTTCCAATCCTGATCCAAAATCTGGTGATGCCTCCTTAGAGATTCTAAATCTAAAGTCAACAGACACTGGCACATACCAGTGTAAAGTGAAGAAGGCTCCTGGAGTTCAGAGCCAAAAAATACAATTGACTGTGCTTGGTAAGATATATTTTTCTTCATCCCTTTCTTCCCTTCCCACACCCTCCTCACCGCCCCTCCCCCCC